GATAGTAGACATAATGAATATAAGAGAGCAGTTGAAGATAAGAATTTTGGTCCATTAGTAGCAACAAGTATGAATAGATGTATTCATTGCACACGATGTATCAGATTTTCAGATGAATATGCTGGTGTAACTGAATTAGGAACTAGTGGAAGAGGAAGGAATACTGAAATCGGTACATACATTGACAAAATGATCACTAGTGAATTACAAGGAAATCTTGCTGATATCTGTCCAGTTGGTGCATTAACCAATGGGCCTTATGCATTTACATCAAGACCATGGGAATTAAAGTCATACGATTCTGTAGATGTTTTTGATACTATCATACCTTTTATTTAAATTGATACAAGAGGAGCAGAAATAATGAGAATCTTGCCAAGAATTCATGAAGAAGTAAATGAAGAATGGTTAAATGATAAATCAAGATAAGCTTTTGATGGATTAAAAAAATAAAGATTAACATTACCTTTAGCTAGAGATGCATAAGGCAATTTTACTGATTTATATTGGCCAGATGCAATATAATAAGCAGCTAAAAAGTTATAATCTGTAAAAGGAGAAGAGATTGTAGGAGTAATTGGAGAATTTGCTGATTGTGAATCTATTGTAGCTTTAAAAGATTTATTGAATAGATTTGATAGTGATAATTTTGAAATTAGAGGAACTGGTGTACCTTAATTAGATGCTGATTTTAGAGCTAATTATTTATTAAATTCAAGAATTACCGGAGTTGAAGAAGCTGATGTACTTTTATTAGTAGGTACTAATCCAAAAGTTGAATCTCCATTATTAAATTCTAGAATTTTAAGAGCTACTAGAAAAAATAACTTAAAAGTATTTCTTATTGGACCAGCTAATGATTTAACATATAACTATGTTCATTTAGGAAATAATGCTTCAATCCTTGATGAAATAGCTAATGGTACTCATCCATTTGCTGCCAGACTCAAAAATGCTAAATTGCCAATGATCTTAACAGGAGCTGGTGTTTTAGAAAGAGTAGATGGAAATGCTATTCATAATACTTTAAAAAAGATTGCTTAAAATTCACCTGTATTAAATCCATAATAAGGTTGGAATGGATTTAACTTTTTACATAAAGAAGTTGGAAGAATTAATGCTCTTGAATTAGGTATTACAGCTAGAAAGAGCAGCACTCCAGCTAAAGTTGTAATTTTATTAGGAGTTGATAATAATTTAAATGCCTAAGATATACCTAAAGATGCATATGTAATATATATTGGTAGTCATGGAGATGAAGGTGCATATTATGCAGATCTTATATTACCAGGAGCTACCTATACTGAAAAGAATGGAACTTATGTAATGTTATTTCTATATTCCAAAAGGTTTCAACGGAAGGCAGAGTTTAAACAACAAAATTAGTTGCTTTACCTCCATCAGGTGCAAAATCAGATTGGGAAATTTTGAGAGCATTATCTGAAGAATGTGGATGTGCTCTACCTTATGATACTTTAGAAGAAGTATGTAAATTTTGTATTATAATAGGTTAGATATAGAATGGCTGAATTAGCTCCTCATCTATTAAAATATGACTATATTGAATCAACTGTTCTTGGATAAGTTGCACTTAAACCTGAATCATCTAAATAAACTATTTCATCAACTCCATTCAGAGATCTTATTGATGTAAATTTGACTTTATATTCATAGAATTTCTATATGACCGATGCTATCTCTAGATAATCAGTTACTATGGCTAAATGCTCTACAGCTTTTAATCCTCATAAATTTAGCACATTTAAATAATTATGAAAATATTAATTATCCATAAAATTTATAGCAATAAAATATTTATTTCATACCATTTTTTTACTTCCAGGACTTTAATTACATCTTTAAGTGTTATAGACTTCGAAAATACCTTTAGGATTATTTTTTAAAGGACTGTTTATTCGAGCAGTTTATGATCCACCTTACTTGATTTTAGCTGAAGATTTCAAATCTTCAATATAAATATTAACTATATTATTTTAGTTGATATTGTATACACCACCTCCTTTTTTAGAAGACGCTTACACACAAATGTTATTTGCAATTTTTAATGGATCTTTTGAATTATCATGACGTTATGGTTATTTTGGAGGAGATCCTTTATAAGTTCCTACAGCATCCTACGATTTAGTTCTATAGTGCAATAGTTAAGAATTCAGTATAGGTCCTTGTGTATTAATTGCATTAACTATTTATTTTTTCTTTACCTCAGAATTTTTCACCTAAAGATTTCTCAATGTTGCTAATGCATATTAAGTGAATTTCTAAGGCATTTTTTATCTAAATTTATATTATTCTTTACATATTTTTAGATGAAGATTTCTATTAGCTTTTCTCTCCCACATTAAAAACACTTGATCTTTGAATTCTATCTGTTGCTAAAGGTTGCTTACCTAAGATTATAAATGTACATGTTTGATACTCTTATAATCATCATCATATTTTTATAATTGGGATGCCACTCTGGTTCTTCTATTGATAGATATAAATAAAGTTACAAGAAATTAACTTAATAAGACTACAAATCAGCAGATTATTTTTAATTTGAACTCTATCTACTTGGTAATCTAAATTGACAATCAGTTGAATTAAAATTTGCATTAACTTTCCTTTATGAATTTGACTTTTAACTATAATTTAGTTTTTGCTATTTCTAATAAGATTATTATTATTTTTAAACAAAATTAGCAAAACCTTCTATTTAAGAATAAACTTTTTAAATAGTTTATGATTATTATGAGTTCCTTAAAGGTGATTATTCTTGATTAGATCTTTTAGTTTGTTCTCCTGCTTTAATGGAGTTTTCAGCTTTCAAAGAAGACACTTCTCCTTGATTATTAAATTATAATCTATTAAAATTAATTTTATCAAAACTTCCTTAATAACTTATTTAATGAGTAGTTTTAGAATCTAAATTTTAAACTTTAGAATTTTAATTTGTTTAAGGTTTATGTTAAGGTTTATTATTAATTAAGTAATTTTATCTAAGATTCTTGTTGATAGTTGAAAGATCTTGAGATCTTATGAGAAAACTATTGCTTTAATCAACAGATAATAAACCAGAAATTTATCCGAGATAATCATATTTTTATCCAATTTATTATACGAATTCACGTAATTATACACTACTTGAGATGTCAACATGTTTTTAGAGATAAGAATTTGTATCTAATTTCAAATCCTTTAATAGATGTTTTAATTAACCAACTGTTAAATCTTCATCACTGTGTTTTTACTTCTTTTTTTCTTTTTTTTTTGATGGTTACTAAGATATTGGAAATTAAAATTACTATATCTTCATCAGGTATATTCAATTTCCTTTTAATATTTCCATATTCAATTCTTCTTTTCTTTTCATGAAATTTATTAATAGTTATGTAAACCTTTTGCATAAAGAGACGTGGTATATCTTTATGATATTTGTAGTATTCAAGCAAGGCTTTTGTTTTAGAAGTTGCCTCTTTTTTAGCATATGATCTTTTAATGAATTAATGAATACCTCTTCAAATATTCTTCTTCCTCTACTATGCATTCCAAATCTCTATAAAATACAACAGCTGGTGTAGATTCTTCATCAATTATATTATTAATGTCTTTTGAATAATAGTAGTTTTGAGATGATGAATATTTAGCAAATAGAGCCTTATTAAGAAGAGGAGCATAGGATTCAACTTTTTAATTTTTAAATTTCTAGCAAAAGACGCAAGTTGATTCTGTTTGATTGTTAGGGCTATAGCAAAGATTAGATAAAATAAATTACGGTGAACATAATGATGAAAACCGTTTTCGAACTGATATAGGGTTAGATACAGACTATTTGCTATTTGATCTTGAAGTTTTTCCTCCATGAACCTATTTTTTAGTAGACATTTCTCTATATGTTCCTTAATAAGTTAATAAATAAATTGTAAATAAATAATATTGTATTTTACTAAATGTATCACTTTTTAGTTTCTTTTGCTTGTTTTCTCTTTTCCTTAACTCCAACAAATTTAGCATTGTACCATTCTTATCTAAGTCTTCTATAAACATTCTTAGCTCTTAATTCTTTAGAAATAACAGTAGCTTTTTCACGTTTAGGTGTTCTTTAGAATGTAATAACCTTTTTAATTTAGCTATTATAATTACCTCAGGATTAGTATTTTATGGTACTGGTTAAGCAACAACTTCATTTGTTGAATCTTTAACAACTCCATTTTTAGGTTTACCTGTAACTCTTGGGAATAAGACTAATTTTGATAAATATGCTTTTAATCTTTTCACATTNTTGATAGTTGAAAGATCTTGAGATCTTATGAGAAAACTATTGCTTTAATCAACAGATAATAAACCAGAAATTTATCCGAGATAATCATATTTTTATCCAATTTATTATACGAATTCACGTAATTATACACTACTTGAGATGTCAACATGTTTTTAGAGATAAGAATTTGTATCTAATTTCAAATCCTTTAATAGATGTTTTAATTAACCAACTGTTAAATCTTCATCACTGTGTTTTTACTTCTTTTTTTCTTTTTTTTTTGATGGTTACTAAGATATTGGAAATTAAAATTACTATATCTTCATCAGGTATATTCAATTTCCTTTTAATATTTCCATATTCAATTCTTCTTTTCTTTTCATGAAATTTATTAATAGTTATGTAAACCTTTTGCATAAAGAGACGTGGTATATCTTTATGATATTTGTAGTATTCAAGCAAGGCTTTTGTTTTAGAAGTTGCCTCTTTTTTAGCATATGATCTTTTAATGAATTAATGAATACCTCTTCAAATATTCTTCTTCCTCTACTATGCATTCCAAATCTCTATAAAATACAACAGCTGGTGTAGATTCTTCATCAATTATATTATTAATGTCTTTTGAATAATAGTAGTTTTGAGATGATGAATATTTAGCAAATAGAGCCTTATTAAGAAGAGGAGCATAGGATTCAACTTTTTAATTTTTAAATTTCTAGCAAAAGACGCAAGTTGATTCTGTTTGATTGTTAGGGCTATAGCAAAGATTAGATAAAATAAATTACGGTGAACATAATGATGAAAACCGTTTTCGAACTGATATAGGGTTAGATACAGACTATTTGCTATTTGATCTTGAAGTTTTTCCTCCATGAACCTATTTTTTAGTAGACATTTCTCTATATGTTCCTTAATAAGTTAATAAATAAATTGTAAATAAATAATATTGTATTTTACTAAATGTATCACTTTTTAGTTTCTTTTGCTTGTTTTCTCTTTTCCTTAACTCCAACAAATTTAGCATTGTACCATTCTTATCTAAGTCTTCTATAAACATTCTTAGCTCTTAATTCTTTAGAAATAACAGTAGCTTTTTCACGTTTAGGTGTTCTTTAGAATGTAATAACCTTTTTAATTTAGCTATTATAATTACCTCAGGATTAGTATTTTATGGTACTGGTTAAGCAACAACTTCATTTGTTGAATCTTTAACAACTCCATTTTTAGGTTTACCTGTAACTCTTGGGAATAAGACTAATTTTGATAAATATGCTTTTAATCTTTTCACATTATTATTTAATTCTTCTTAATTTAAATTTCTTCTTCTATGATCAACAGCGATTCCAATAGTTCTGGCAAAAGCTGCATTAAGTCCTGCTTCCTTTAATTCAATTAATGAAAATCCTCTTCCAAGTTTTTAAACACTATTATACTTAATTGTCTATCCTCTAACAACAGGACGAAGTAATTCAACAGGTCTTGGTTATTATGCTATATTTATTATTTAATATATTGAATATACATAATGCTAATGATCTTCTTCTCAATTATCTTCTTCTTTTTGCAGCTGGTTGATTATAAAATGTCTTAACAAATCTTGTCCAATGTTTTCTTAAATGGGCATTTGGAAGTTATTAATTGTGTTTCATTAGTGGTAAATTTTTTAAATAAAAATTGTGGATATGTAAAAATCAATATTAAAAGACTTAAATAAGTCATATATAATTTATCACGAAATTTATTATGTTTCACAGCTAAGTTAAATGTCTCATAGACTTTCTAATATAATAGACTATATTAGTTACCTGACAAATGTCTTAGTCTTTTCTTAAGGAGCTTAATTTAAATTTGGAGTAGATTCTCTAGGCTGCTCTTCTTTTGCCAATTCTTCAAATGTTTATAAGTCAGTTATTGAATTATGAAAAGAAAGTTTCATCTTTTTCATATTATTCTCGTCTATTTCTTCTACTAATTTAGGTTTGAACATTAAATAAGGACGAGCCATTTAAGATGATTTTTCTTTTTAAGTGTGTTAATCAGGAATATAGGCAAATTATGTTTACTTTCTACTCATAATTCATAAAAACTCACATCACATCTTATTAACTTTTCTATTATATTTTTGGTTTCTATTCTCTTGGAGTTGGTACTGTATAAACTTTCTTCATAATATTCTAAATTTTAATACAAACCTTAAATATATTAATGAATACTGCTCATAATTATCTAATCATATTTGATCAAATTTTTATGTTATTTTACTAAATACTTTCTCTGAACAACCAAATGTTCAGTTATCTTATGAATATTTTTATTTAGTACTAAAGAAATTAATTTTTCCTAATTCAATCCTTGTTATTTTGATAATATTCTTAAACTATTAATTCTATTTTTAATTTCTTTAGAATTGGTATCATTCAAAACTATTAACTTGAAAATCGAAAAACAATACTCCTTTGCATTTTATATTTATATACATTTTTTATTTCAAATATGCAGCTAAATCAATTAGAAAATTTTAGAACTGAACAAGATAATAGTACTTTCTTTCATTTAATGTTATAGTAGGTAATCATACTCTACATGGCTAATCTGGTCGATAATTATTAGATAGTGGATCAAGATAAAAATAATAAACTATTGCCAAAATTAAAAAAGCCTTAAAAACTAATAAAGAAACACTTCGTACTTTAAGAGCTACAGACTTAGTTTCAGATAGTAAAAAATTGTATAATACTAAAATTCATTAAATATTAATAGAAATAGTGTAGGACGATCTCAAATTAAATTATTACATTATGGTCCTTAGTATACAGGTAAACCACCTAAAAACAAAAAAAACAAAGATGAAAGTCCCTTCCTTTTAGATTCATAATCAGCTGAAGAAATTGAAGGATTTAGTAATTAAGCTTGGAAGAATTATCCTTTAGAGATTTTGATGATAATTTTAAGATTTATAAGTTTTATTACTAAATCAAACTTTGCTACAAGTTTTAGACTTATAAATAGAAATGTTTTTGAAATTATAGGAGACAAATCAGCATATTTTAGATATTATTTATTTAATGATTATTTCAAATATGAAGTATTGATGTAAATTAATTTAAGAAACCAAATCCATATGAAAAAATGAAATATTAATTAAATCAATAAGTATTTGTCCCTCTTAGAAGGATGAAGGTTTATAATTATTTTAATAAAAATAAATTAATATTACGCCCTGAGTCAATAATCTCAATTGCATGGAATATATATATACTAACTATTTTAAATATGAATGTTTTATATGTAAGTGCAAGAGTCGCATTTAAGTTTGATACCAATAATTCACTTGAAGATAGTTTTTAATAGTTTAGATGGGTTTTATTTGATGTTTTGCCCTCATATTCTTTTATTTTAGAAATATTAATTAAATTTAATACCTGTTATTATTACAAAGGAACAGTAATAGAAAATAGATATCAAATAGCTAAAAACTATATACGAACATGTAAAAATGTATGTAATAATATATAGCATTTTTTTTTGATGTATTTGTTATTATTCCTTTTTTCATAAGTCTTCAATTTGAATTAGACTATTTAGATTTAGTTATAATTTTAAAAGTGTTTTAGATTGCAAAACTTAGTGGAAATTTATTTGATAGGCTTGAACTTTCATCAAGTTAAATAGCCATATTTGATTTAGTTAAATTAGGGTATACAATTTTAGTTGTTGCTCATTTTTGTGCTTGTCTATGGTTTTTAGTTGGTACTACTGGAAGTGATACAACTACTTGGGTTATAAAAAATGATTTATAAGATTAACCTTGGCTTGCTTAATATTTAACATCATTTTATTTCAGCATAGTAACAATGACAACAATAGGATATGGTGATATAACTCCATAAAATTTAAGAGAAAGAATGTTTACTATTTGTATGACAGTAGCTGCTGTAGGTATTTTTGGATACTCTATTGGTAATATAAATAATATTTATGCTGATTGGAGTAGAAAGACAATTGAATTTAGATAGAATATGAATGATCTAAAGAAATATCTGAGATTAAAAGGATTAGATAAAAATCTAGCTGAAAAAATAAGAAAATATTTTGAATATATATGGTGTGATGCTGAAGATGAAAATGATAGAGAAACATTTAAATTTTAAGAATAAATTCCAACTTAATTATAAGAAGAAATGAAAATTGATATAAATATGAAAATAATTAGGAAGATTAAATTCTTAACTGATAATTTTAGTGAGGAATTTCTGATTTTATTGTCTAAAAATTTAATTGAAGAGAAATTCGCCCCTGAATAAATTATATATAAAGTATTTAATATCTATATATCCTAGTAAAATGAAGTAAGTGATTATCTATATATTCTTTAAAAAGGAGAAGTAGAATTTTATGTTAATTTAAATAACAAATAAGAATCATAAAAAGTATTAGAATAATACTCTGGGGATTCATAACCTTTTGGTGTTCTTGAATTTTTTGAAAAATAGAATTATTAAGTATCATGTAAATCTACTTAATTCACATATTTGTTAAAAATTCATAGAAATTAATTTATTGAATTATTATAATAAAATTCAAAAGATTATGTATAAATTGATTATGAAATTAGTCAACATTTTGTTAAATGAGAGATTAAGTAACCTATTCAAATGCAAAAGATGTTGTTGATGTTTCATGTAGAGCATGTAATAAAACATCACATGTAATACGAGAATGTCCATTAGTATGTGGATATCCAAATAGATCTAAAGTTCTATTAAACTATAGAAGAAATGTTCCTTCTGATAGAAGTGTTTATAGGAGAACTTTAAATAGGAGAGTTGATACTCGATTAGAATCTCATGATGTTAAAAATAGTATTTTATTATTTATTTGCAAAAACAAATTGATTGATGAAATTTATAATAAAACTGGTAATTATATTTTTATTAACTTTTAAGATGAGGAAGAGTAGAATGATTCAGAAGAAGAAACTTATAACACTTTTAAAGTTGGTTACAAATTGACAATCACTTAATAAATTGAATCAAAAAGACCTTTATGTTTTTAAGGTTGTAATGATGCATTATAAGATGAAGAATTAGTAAATTTATTATAATTATTTATAGCAAAATAAAATTAAGGAAATTGTAAAATACCTCAAAAAAAAATAATTAAATTCAATATCTCAAGAGAAAAAATAAGGATTGAAATTAGAAGCTGAAAAGACTATGAATTTTAATTCATTAATGAAGGGTTCTGAAACTTCACACTTATTATAACCCTAATAATAATAAAATGGTTAGGATTTAGTTTAATAAGATTTAAACAGAAGAACTTCTAAAATAACTCAAGGTAAACCTCGAAATTTATTTGATATTGTTATTTAAGGTTCATTAGTAGCTCCAGTACCTTCTTAAAATATATTAACAATCTTTGAACAATAAGATTAAGATGAGGAATTCGATAAAAAAAGAGGATAATATATTGAATTATTTGAAGGATTTGAAAGATTTAAAAATTTTGAAAATTATCTTTAACATAACAATTTGGCTACAATCATTCGAAAGAGAGAGAAAAAACGGAAATATTTATGAATTTTTTTATGAACAATTTTAAATTACCAATTAAAAATACATGTGTTTTAATAATAAATCATTCGTTTTTAGACTTTTCTACTTTTTTTTAAGTTGAAGTTGGTTATTGCAATTTTTTAGGTTTTATTAATGCATCAATTGCAGCAAAACAAAATGCAATATAAAATAATGCTCCTTAAATTGTTGAATCTCCTCCAAGTCTTTCTGATTTATATAATACATGATTATAATTAATTGCAGCATATACTAATAAAGCTGGAATTGAAAGCACATAAAGTAAACCAATTCTATTAAAATTAATTTAAAAATACCTATTCATTGTTACAAAAGAACATGCCACTAATATATATCCCAAAAACATTCTCATCTATAAATAAACATCCACATTATTAAGAATTGAGTTTTCTAATCTTGCTGTTTCTCTGACTGTTCTTTCAAATCGTTCCTATATTGAATTTGTAGTATACTTATGTCCAAGGATCATAAAGCAAACTCATTCCAAAAATACCTAAACCAAATCCAATTAATAGTGATGATAATCTTTACATTTATTTTATATTAAATTATTTATAGATATTTATTAATATGTAATCTGTCAATATTTTAATAAAATGCAATACATCAGAAATAAAATGGAATACCAATTTATCATCTATTTTTTGATAAAATCAATCTGAATATTTTTTAATTAAATTTAAGTTACTAATTATATAATATTTCTCTACTTTATTATTTTATTAAGTGAATCATTTCAAATAATAATTTATTGATGTCGTTATCAAAGAATCAAGAACAAAAATGTTAGTTTATAAAAATGCCCACTTTTAGGTTATTATAAACCTAAATTAATAGATATTTTAGTATAAAATAGTTTTATGATAAATCACAAATAGAATTTTTATCTATTGAACTTCAGATGACTTTTGTAAGTTTAATTAAAAAATCTTAAAAATACAATTAGATTTGTTATTGTTTTTTAAAACGTATATGATTCCAAATGCAATAATATTTTTTGTTAATTTTAATATATAATCTATAGAAATTTTGTTTTTCTATTGATTTAAAAAAGAAATATATATAAATATCTTTAAATAAAACGAATGATTTTATCACTTTTATTTATTATGAAAAATAGAAGTAATTTACTTACTCAATGATTATAATTTTTTATAATTATCGACTAAATGGGTATCGGAATCTAAGAGCAAATCTTCATCAAAAACAACAGTTTGAGTTTATTTTTATTTAATTTTTGGTTTTTTCAAATAATCAGGTAAGGTTCTCACCCTTAAACCTTAATTATTTTATAAGTATTCTTCTGGAATTATGTATTCAGAATCTTCACTAATTTCATCTCTTGATAATGGATAGATATTATTATCTTTAATTTTAAAGGGGCTGCTATTACTACTTTGACCACTTTAATCTTTTTCAATTTAAATTAGATTTTAATCAAAATTTTATTTCATTAGAGAAGGGCAAAATGTTTTTCTTTTATTTGGATTAATGTGATGCTATTTAATATTGCTATAAATTAATTAAATCTATACATTAATTAATTAGATGGATATTTATCTATTTGAAAATTATCATCAAATTATATTGTTCCATAACGAGAATAAATTTCTGTTTAAGCAGTATTTTGAATATCCCAATCATAAATTTAATCAATTTTAATCTTTGAATTTTTAGCAGCTTATTAAAATAGTTTAACAATAGATTTATAATCTGGTTCTGAGGCATATGTAAGCTTACGTAAATATCTATAATTTTATAAATGAATTACTCATAAATTTTTTTAAGTTCTTCAGGTAAATTTTTAAATAATTGAGCTGTCTACTTTTATTTAATATCACCAACTTATTGTATTTTTTAGTCACTTGGAATTTGCTTAATGTTTTGCCAAGGTAATTTACTGAAACAATGAAAATCTTCATTTTTACCCAAAATAAAAATATAACAAGATGTAAACTAAAGATTCTAAATCGTCCTTTCTTCCTATTTCATTTCCTTTATGAGCTGCTATTGAAGCATATCGAGAAGTTCCAATAAATGGTTATCGATCTTTGAAAGGCCTTATGATATTATAAATTTACAAATGTTATCCATTTTTTCTGTTATATACCTTACTTATACCATAATCAATTATATAGAATGTGTTATTCTCATCAATCATAATATTTTCTGGTTTTAAATCTCTATGTAATACCCCTTTTTAATGAATATTATCCAGTACTTCCACTAATTTTATCCCAATCTATAAAATTGTTTTAAGGCTAAATTTCTTTTATTGTTTTATCAAAGAAGATAAATCTTTAGAAAGAAGCTACAAAACCAAAACATTAAATTCATCTTATATTCCAAAATAAAGCAATTTAGGTACTCCTTAAACTCCATCCAATCTTTTTATTATTTCTACTTCTTTTTCTAAAGATCTCAGATGTTCATTTTCAGGTTTTTCAATTTTTATTGCTACTTATTGTCCTGTTTTTTAGTCAAAGCCAAGCATTACAAATCCAAATGCACCAGATGCAATTTTTTTAGATAATATATATTGATTGTTTATCCTTAGAGTTTTCATTTTAAATATTCTTAATTATAAATATTAAATATACTTAGTTTAATATCCTTTAAAATCTTTGAAAATACGTTGATAAATACAAAAAAATTGTAAAATATTTAAATAATGAACAATTAATACTGTGAATATTTATTATTAAATTTGTAAAAGTTTGATTAAAGATATTGAATTATGATATATATTAATCACATATCTTTATCAAAGAATCTAAAATCTAATTTAAGTGTGCTGATTATTTAATCAATATTTCTAAAATAAACACAATTTTTTTACTTTTCAATAAATTAAGAAGAATGTGTTAACTATTTTTCAAATCGACTATCATATAATTTAGTCACATTTTCTTTTAATTTTGCTAATTAAGAGATTAATTTTCTTTCGTCTTCTTCTGGATTCTTTTTTGCAATAACTTTATTTATTGCTAAACTTGTCTTTCCTTATCTAGTTTTTTCTAGTAATGAACTTTACTTTATTTTTTAAGTAGGAGTTTGTGGTACTACTTTATTAGAAAACATATACTATCTTGAAATGGATCTTAAAAAGACTTTGTATTACTTTTTAAAATAGTCTTTTTTTATGTTAAAGGTGTTTAAGGTACTTATACTTAAGATTTAGTAGTTTGAGGTCGAATGGTGTTATAATTAGAATTATTATTACTATTAGTTTTTTTGTTTTAACCTTAATTATTACTAGATTAAATATTCTGTGTTTATTATTGTATTTTTTTTTATCCTCCTTATTTTGTATTTACAGGAAATTTGCCATTTACTCTAACATTATTGACTGCCTAAATTCCTTTGATTTTAGTGACATCCTATTCAGTACCTAGAATTTCTTCTTCTTCTATTACTAAATGAGTATATTTAGATATGTCATGATTAACCTCTTATTTTTCTTCTAAAAAATATATATAATAAAATCAAAAATACATATTGAATTTTATGCATGCAAACTTTAAGTAAGGGATATGAGTTACTTTTATTATTTCCATAATTAAGATAGATTGTTAACATTCTAATTTTATTATTTGAGATTCAAAACTAATTCATAATTTAAAGAAATACATTTTTCAACTGATTAAGTATTCTTCTATTAATCACTATTTCTTGTGCTTCTAAAATCATTTGTTAATGAAGATGTGTATTATCTATCTGATGAAAGATTACGAGATCTAGATGAAGGGCATTATAATTTTCCTTTTAAAGATTCTAATTCTTCTAATTATGTAATATGCCTTTCATTCAATTTAAAATTCATTTATTATTAAATTGAGTTATAAATAAATGACATAAACATTAAAAAAGAAATTTTTTAAATTGCCTATATTGATAAATAATTACAAGAAGGATAAATTAATTGATATTAGAGATAATTCTAACAAAAAAGAAATTATTTCTTTCAATTATCTTTATATTGATAATAATAAAAAAAGTAAATAAACCTTGGAAAATATGATTTTTTAATTCTATGTAAATTTATATTTATTGCAATATGATTATATTTTGATTGACTGATGATAATTAGAATTGAAACATATAAATTTTAAACCTGAAAAACTCTAAAATTAAATATTACAATTTTATTACATCTATAAATAAAAAACCTAAAGAATGTGAAATTGTTTTTATAATCTTGATTTCTATGATTAAAAGTAGAGTATAGAGTATTTTTAATGTAATATTTTATTTTGATCACTAATATTTTGGATAAAATTTGACTTAAGTTTGAGTTAATGAATATAAAAAATGGAGTTAATTCTAACTCTTTTAAAATTATTTATTTCAGAGTCACTTTTAGAATGAACATTAAAATTAGAATTATAAGACCTCCAGTTCCAAAATTTAATATGAATGAATCTGATACTAACACTCTTAATATGGTTCCAATTGAAAAGTAAATTAAAAATTACAATTGCCATTAATTAACATAAGATAATAATTCTGACACTTCTTCTGATGATAATAAAGAATAAAACTTTGATCGAAAAAAGTTATCCGCAATTATTGAGGAAATGAAAAACTAAATTTCTCTGTTAGATTTAAATGAAGATCTGTTAATAATTGCAATTCAACTATTAAAACCTTAATTATTATCTAAACTAAAATAAAAAAAATACAGCGCTATCGCTATTGCTATTGCAGGATTAATTGCTGCCATAAAACAAACTAGTATCCCAATCACTCAAAAAGAAATTTTAGCTAAAATTTCAGTCTCAGAAAAATTAATTAAAAAAATATTACTCAAAATTCACAACAATTATAAATTAGAACCAGTTGTTTAGGCATTTATAAAATCAATTTCCTATAAATTGGGACTTAACGAAAGATTTATTCATTTTTGTATTCAAGTGTTTAACAAAATCCTATAAAATAATTTAATTCAAGGAGAACATGAGAATGTTATTGCAGCTGCAATTGTAAAATATAGTGGAGATATTATTTTTTCAAGTAGAGGAGGAATACTTTCTTCAGTAATTGCTTAATAAGCAAAATGTAGTATTGGTACATTTAAAATGTTTCATAAAAAGGTCATGGAAAACAATTATTTTGTTATGCAAACACTAACAGCTTTATCATGATTTAATTAAGTTCTATTTATATTTTTATTTAAATATGTATCAATCACATCCATGGGATAATTTTAAGAATTTATTGTATTTAATTATTTTTTCATATTTTATTGGAGGTCCAATATTGATATTAGAATTTGGAAGTGAAAACTATTATAATAAAAAATAAGATTACAGCAACATCAACGAAATAAGAGTCTTCTGTATCAACAAGTGAATCACCAATAATAATTTATAAGGAAGCTTTCTAATATTATTGAATAATATATTACTTTAGAAATCAAATAGCTGAGATGATTTTATAATTCTGTAAAAGTATTGTATTCATAGAGAGGCTTATATATATAATCAATATGTATTCTTTCATTATTTAACTGGTTTATTTACTATTCAGTTAATTCAGGATTAGTTTATAGACTTAATGCTTCACAATGTTTTTTTGCTTTATCAATATTTGAATATAATCTTCTACTACCTAATTTGACTTTAGATTCTTTAAATTTATTAGTTATTTTGGTCCATCCCACAATATCAGAATGATGAATAGGATCCTCTAAATAAACAATAATAGGTTTTTCTTAGCATAATTTAAAATAATAATCTATTAATTAATCTGCATCTAATAATTTTTTTGGATTGTCTAAATCATATTTCTTTTCTTCAGGAACATAAAATAATTCTGCTAACCAAACTAATCCAAGTTGAACTTAATCTTTCAATTAAGCAACATCTATTGCTTATTCAATTATTTTTAGATTATCTGGTATAGTATCACCTGGACAAATAAATGTACCATCTTAATAAAACTAAAGGCCTGCTTCTCCTTTTTTACCTGAAATAATAGTTTTTTTGACATTATTAACAACATTTTAAATTTTTTATAAAGCTCCTTCTCCCTCACATATTAATAAAAACTTATAAATTTTACATTTAGAACTAACTACTTTACTACCTTATAGTAAATTTACAAAGAGTTTAGGTGTTTTAGTTTCTTAAGTATTAAATTATTGACATAATAATTTTGATAAACTTTAATTCATAAAGTGTGCATGTAAAGGAATTAAACTAAATGAAATTTATTAAACAACATTAATTCGATTCTATAATATATATATATAATATTATACTGGATGTTCATTAAGATATTTGATTAGTGTTTCATCAACTTATTTTTAATCTTTTGATTTTTTTCCTTTTAATTATTAAGATATCTTTTATATTTCTTAGATTGCTTATTTCATATTTTTTTATTCATCATCACTTAAATTAACTATAATTTTACTAAAATATTTCTTATTCTGGATAAGATTAGGAAAAGTATAATGGAGAATAAAAATGTAATTTTTAATTTTTGAATTAGACTGTGAAAATCAATTGAATACTTGACTTTAATTCATTATTTAATATTTCTAAACCTGTAATATCATCTAATTCAATAACAGGAGTTGATAACTGAATCAATAATATTAAGTTACTTTTCCAAAGTATTATGAAAATGTTGTATAAGGATCAGTTGGTTTTTATGAAAGTATAGTGTTAACTGCATCTTTAATGATTTCTTCAATTTTGTATTGTTCAATATATGTTTTTACTTCAGGAGGAATATATGGTGATTTAGACATTTAATAAATATAATAATTATAATCGAATCAGAATCTCTTACCACTTGATCCAAATGGACATGGAAAATCTTTTTATTATTTTTGTTTAAGTTTTGCTTAAGTAAATGATTAATCAATATCATAAGTACCAACTCCAGGAAAATTAAGAAATTAATCTTTTCTTTAACTATATTTATCAATTGAAATAACTCCAATTGATTTTGGTTTTGTTTTGATATCATAAGCACCTACACTAGGACCTATATCCTATTATTATGAATTAAATCTTTTAACAGTGGATGAGAAACATTAAAATTTCCAAGGAACTTTTTCAATCTTTATAGAAGAATTATTAAACTCATTATAATAAGCTCCAGGAGGAGGTATTGGTTTATCTTTCATTTTTTCTCTTTATTACGCTAATTCTAAACTATCAGAAGGAAATAAAGAAAATATATTCCTATGAGCTCAATAATAATAATTAGAAATTGTACTTTTAGGTTTTCTTTTTTTAGATTATCCTGTTATAGGTGTTTAAGCTCTTGAATTATTGTAATATCCTTAAACTTATAATTTATTTGTCTCTTCAATTGAACTATCTAAATCTGTATTATGTTTTTAATATAGTATTTTAAGACGTTTTCCTTTTTATTTAATAGGCAATCTTTCAATGTTATTAATTGAGATATCTGGATTCTAAGAATAACTAAAACTCTTTCTTTCCTGTTTTTTATATTTCTAATCAACCTTTAATCTTTCACCTGGTTTAGCATATGCTGATAATTAATAACTTGCTAATGAAACTCTTGTGTTATTATTATTGTAATTTTAAGGACTGAAACTTGATCCATTAATTAGATTCCTTGATATAGATTTTGCAAAATCAATCCCTTTAGATTATTATTACTAGTTTATTTCATAATAACCAACAGGAGGGTTATAAGTAGGTTAGAAACAAATACGATCACCTTTTGAAAACATTAATATTTAAATTATAATAATAAATGTTTGGTTTTATATTACTTTTACTAGTTTAAGCCTAAATCAGAAAATATGATTGGATTAATAATTATTTTGCATTATAATGCACATGTTTAGATGAATGTTGTATATATGGTTCATTTATTTTAAAAAATGATAAAGTTATGAATACAAATTTTGTTTAGATAGATGCTAAATTATAAGGAGCAGGATGTTCTTAATATACAATTGAAAATGTATTCATAATAAATTAATAATAAGGTTATTTGTACTTTAGAATCACCAACAGATGTTTAAACTACATTAAGTTGTCCACTTTAAGATTGGAATTGGTTAGTCTCTAGAGATAGTAATACTGGATCAATCTATTGGACTGATAATAAAAATTGTTAAGGAGTTTGGAATGTCATTGATTTGTCTGTCAATTAAGTGGTTTATTTATTTAAACCTATTATTGTGTTAGGAATTATTTTAATTTATTAATTATGATTTCATTTTATTCAATTTTTCACAAGTTATCTTTAACATTTTTTTAACAATTATATATCATTAAATTCTTATTCCGCCAACTATTTTACTATTGAACAAACCCATTCTAAAGATACATTTCTATTTGTGCTTATTCTATTCTATACATATCTATATGTATCACGAAATCCAGATAAATTTGCTTATAAATTGCATATTTATTCATCTGCTTAATTTAAAGATAAAATTTTTAAAATATTATCTTCGTTAACTTCTTAATGATAATGATCATTTTAAAATTTTTCCATACGTTTAATCTCCTTTTCTAAACTTTCATTTGCTTCTGATATAAAACTTCTCAACTACTTTAATTTTGCTCTCTAATCTTAACTTTATTAATATTCCTAATTTAACTTATTTCCTAATTCCTTTATATTCCTCCAATCATCTTCTATCTTTTTATTTAATAATTAATTCATACTTTCTCAGTGTACTTTAGAATTTTCTATTCTAATTCTATTTTTGCTCGGTCTTTCTACAATAAATTCTAACAATATGGAGGATTTTTTAAAAAATCACTTCTTAGTTTAATTATAATATCAACTAATTTCTGATTCTTATTATAAGTTGAAGTCAATTCAGGCTCTTCTTAATCTAATACATTAATTTTATATTTACTTTCATACATTTATACAAACTTCCATTAATTTTGAGGTTTTAAAAGAAAACTTTTTATGCCATCTTAATAAATCAAAAAGTAGATTTTGACATTGGGTTTTTAATTATCTAATTACAAATTAGCTGTAATCAATATATAATTTGATACAATACTTTGAAGATATTTTAAGAAGTGACTTATATAATTGGTTGAAGTAAAAGATTCTATTATTAAACTTTTTCTATGTCATCAATTATTTCCCCTTTTTTATCCATACCATAATTTGTCTTTTCAATGATTCTAAGTGCTTAATCAAGCATTAATTAAAAAAAATATAAATATTAAACTTAAATAAATACAAATATTTTACAATAAAATTTATGTCTGAAATTGAACAACTAACTAAATAAAAGGAAGATATTGAATCCAGCTAAACAGTTTTAAAAATATGGTGTTCTTTAAAAAAGAATTTATCTTCAAAGTTTAAGAATCCATCAGAAGCTTTCAAAACATTGAAAAAAGAAGGAAAAGAAACATTATTAATTGAAGATTTTGCAGATTATTCAAAAGGATTAGATTTGTATATATTAACTTTATTTTTAGAACAACAGTATTTAAAGATACAACTCTAAATGAAGATAACTTCATCAAATGTTGGGAATAATGGGAATATTAAGCAAAATAAAATGAACATAAAATATAAATGATAGAAGAGAAAATAGAATTACTTAATATTTTGGAATAAAAAGATAAAGATGGAATCAAATAATTAGAAGCATAGAAAAATAAAAAAATATTAAATATTATCTAAAATTGTGATAATTTGGAATAATTATAAGAGAAGTTAGATACTTTAGTTTAAGGGAGTTAACAATAATAAAAGGATAAATTAGATGTGATTTAAAATGAATCTGAATGTTTTAATAAAATTTTATAAAAGAAATCTGAAATTAAAGCTCCAGAATTATAGATTAGTAAAATATAATAAAAATAAAATGCTGAAGGATCAGAAGATAGTTAATTATAAAATAAGAAGAAAAAAATAAGTTATTTAGATAGTTAAACGAATACTTTATAAAAAAGCAAAATAAGTTTAAATATTTCTAGTTCTCAATTGCAAACAAGTAGATTATCAACATCAAATTAAAATAAGCAATCATACATATATGAATCCTAAGTGTAGATATCTCCTACTAAAGGTTAATAGTTTCTTAAGAATCCTCCAATTACTTAACAATAATAAATAAAGAATACAAATGAAGAAAGAGAAAGTGAAAGAAAATCTCATAAATAAAATAGAATGAGAGGAGATTTATAATCATATATTTCAGATCTATTTTAAAATGAAAGAGAATAATAATAATAATAAAGATAGGAACCAAGATATGTTAGAGATTATGATAGAACATCATATTCTAGTGATTAAAAAGGACTTTCTGGTTTCCCAAATTTTAGAAAATATTTTAAAAATTAATAATAAAAGAGAGAACCATAAGAATTAGAACCAGAACCTTAAAATATATCTAAAAGAGTGTAAAATATAAGGTATTAATAAATATATAAATAAGATATAAATTAGATGATTTTTAGAATTCTAAATTAACTTAATATAGATCAAAACCTTAAACACTTTAAGATTGGAGTCCTGAGAAACCAATCCGTTTATCCTAACAAAAACCTAAATTAGGTAGTAGAAAATCTAGTCCTTAATATACTCCAGGAAATACTCATAGATTAAATCTTGATAAATTAAAATAAGAAAAATAGCAAGGTTCTGAATAATAATAAACAACAAATGAATCGGGTTTTTTGAAGTCAGATTAATAAAATCAAACATTAAAAGGAGATTCATAGATTAATCCTTGATATATTATTGAATAGATGATACAAGATAATAAAATTATACATTATTATTAAAATTATATAGTTTTGTTTTGTATAATTATGCTGTTCTTTTTAGCTGAATATATTTTCAATATTCATATGTTTTATTTCCAATATAGAAATCTTTTAAGAATTCACTCTTTCCTTTAAGCTTTTAATTTTCTAAGTAAGAATATCCAGCATCAGATCTATTTTGATTAGCAAAGTATTGGAATAAATGATCTCTATTTAACATATGCCATTCTGCTTAATACAATAATTCATATCCTCGATAAACCTATGTTTCTTATATATGAATAATACCCATCTATCAACAGCATCAGGATCTCTAAGGTATGCTCTTTTTCTCATAACATTTGCAACATTAAGCATTGCTTATTAAGAATTGCAAGTGACTTCCATATCATGTATTCTTAATAAAAATGGAATCAGACGACACACTTTTCTATAAAATCTTAAAGCCTTGAAATGAGCTTATATAATATTTTTAGAAGGTCTTCCAGTTGTCAAACCTTCAAATATTTCAGTTCCTCTCATTGTAATATTGTTACCACCATATTACTATTGTTTTATATCATAATTACCTTTCCTCTAGAACCATGTGTACCTATTTCTGGAAAGAGATTCAAATTGCTTGTAAAGTTTTAATTTTAATTCATTTATTTATATTATCTAAGTAGAAATCAAAATTTATTAACATTTTTATATGAATATATTTCTAAAAATCTTTATTCAATACTTCTAATCTAAATCTATATAAGGAAACTTAGATTTTTACAATCTAATTACTCTTTTATTTATAAATATTAGAATATATTAATCATAATTAAAGATATAAAGAAAAAGCAATTAAAAATCTATTGAATTACACTTAATTCATAGTTAAACTAAATAATGATATAAAAATTTATATTAATAAATACAAATGGAAAATAATTAAGAAGGAAATAATCATAATGAAACCGAAGAAGAACATTAATAAAATGAGCCTTAGGAGACTGAAAAAAATGTTTAATAATAAAATTCTAGCTCTAAATTATAAGAAAATTCCCCTTAAAAGTAAACTAAGGAATAGTAAAATAATAAATAGCAATAAGAAGTTAATGAAGAAAGAGATGAATAGTTTGATGAAGAAGATATTGATGCTAATTCATTAACTCCAAGAATGAAGGATGCATGTAAACGAGAAGGATTTAAGAAAGAAGACTTAATATAAAAAGGCAAAGACCTGATTAGCTATATGCTAAAATAAAAAGATCCATCAGGTAATCAAGATTGATTTTCTAAAGGCTAATTGGCAAACGAGGAAGTTATATAAATGGTATTCGATCATTTTGAGGAAAAACGCCGATAGAAGATATAAGTTGTTCGTCAGATGAGATAAAAAATCTTGTAAGAAGAATCATAAGGACTATGGCCAAATTAGTTGTCTAATTCTAGTGCCTTTAGAAGCACTTCATCATTAGCTGAAAAAAGAGAGAAATTATTAAGTAGTATTCGTAAAAGGTAAGAATTAGAAATAGAAAAAATAATTAATTCAGAAAAAAAAATGGAATTATTAGCAAAAAATAATGCTGAAAAAGAAAAAAGAATCAAAGAAAAAGAAAAATAAAGAGAATTATTAATTTAATGGTAAAAAGAATAAGCAGAAAAAAAAAGATTATAATTGGAAGAAGAAAGAAGAAAAAAAGAAGAGGAAGAAAAAAGAATTTAATTAGAACTAGAAGAATAATATAAAATTAAAGATTTAAAAAGAAAATAGAGAGAAGAAGAATTAGAAAGAAAAAGAAAAGAGGAAAATAAATTTAAAGAAGAACAGAGAATAGAAAAATAAAAAAAAATTTCATAAGATAGAGAATAATTTTTATAACGCTAATAAGAAATTTAAGATATGAGATTAAAAGAATTGTAAGAAAAAGATTTAAGAAGATCATAAAAATTTGAAGAAGAAAGATTAAAAAGAATAGAGAAAGCAGAATAAGAAAGATTAGAATAAGAAGCTAAATTAGAATAGGTTAGAAGATTAAATGAAGAATAATTAAATAAAAAGAGATTAGATTATGAAAAAAAACAAAAAGAGGTTGAATAACAACGACTGTTTTTTGAAGCATAATAATAAGAATATAAAAGATAGAAAGAGATTGAAGGAGAATTAAAATAAGAAGAAATAAATAAGGTTATCAAATAAAATGAAGAGTAAATGAGAAAAAAAGTCTTAGATTATGAAAAAAAACAAAAAGAATTATAATTAAAAAAGAAAAAATAAGAAGAAGAATAAAAATTATTTTAGATAGAAAAATAGAAATTATTTTAAGAAAAAGAAAAAAAAATTTAAGATGTCTTAATAAGAAATGAATAATAAGCTGAATAACATAAAAATGAATTACTAAAAAAATTAGACTAAGCTAAAGTTAAGTGTGAAAGAATTGAAAAAGAAAAATAGGAAGAATTAACAAGAAAATTAGCATAAGCATTTATTAAAGAATTAGATAAATAAGATAACTTATAAAGACGAGAATAGTTGGATGAACTTAGAAAAGAATAGCTTGAATAAAGAATTAAATAAGATTTAATTAAAAGCTAATAGATTTAAATGGAAAAAGAACATTTAATAAAAATGAGTGAACAATTAAGAAAAGAAGCAGAAGAAAAAAGATAATAATAACTCTTAGAAATAGAAAAAGAAAAAAAGAAGAAACATTCAATGAATTCACATAGAATCATTACAGATATGAGCAAATCCAAATTATCAAATCGTGGAGGTGAAGAATGAATATTAGATATTAAATCATCATAATTAATATAGTTTTATTTTACTCGTAATTATCGATCTTAAAATACTGTATTTAAAATATATATTTCTTCCATTTCTTTATTTGCTTAAATTATTTTATCATTCTATGGATAAAAAATATTTTTTTTTAATTAATAAAATTTGCTGAAGCAGGAACCCATTCATTAAATAATTCTTTAGATAATAATTTACAATCATTTTATCAATCTATATCATATAATTAATTCTTTATTCTATTAACTATTTTAGAGTATTATTTTTCTTAATTCTTCCAATATTACCTTACTCACTGTCAAGAAATCATGGATTTTTTTTTCAATTTAATTCTATCATTGAATGATTCAATACATTATAAAGCTCTTTTTCAGAAATACTTCTATTATAATCTGCATTACAAATATCAAAAAATATTGTAAGATATTACAATATTTCGATTTATTTTTCTTTTATATAGTCTTACTTTAAAATTTATAAACCTATAATTAATTTATTTATAATCAAATTTCTTATTAAAGTCTTCATCAAAGACAGAAATTAGTTATTCTAATAAATTACTGTCATTCCTGAATTCTACAGCTATCGTCAATTCATAAAAGTCTTATTTAGTTAGACTTTAAATAGCAAATTTAAATATATATTAATAGTTTTTAAACATTTAATTCTTAGTGACTTTTCTAAATTAGATTAAAGCTACATTGTGTATCTTACAATTTTATTATATTTGAAAAAAATTTTGAGTTTTTTTTTAAATAGATTTCTTAGATTTTTGATATGAAATTTTTAAGTTTTATTGTTATAAAATATCTTATAGTTATTTTAGTTTGATGATTTAGAATTAAAATTCAGAATTTATTTAAGGATTATATATATCTTAATTAGAACTTTAAGTAACAATTTATAAATCAATAATAATTCTTTTTGGAAGTTAGTACTAATTTTTTATTAAATGATATAATATTTATTTTTTAGTAATACAAAATAATATTTACTCCCTATAATAATTTTTAAATCTCTTAAATTTAATAAAGGTAATTTATTAAATAAATAATAATATGAATAAAATTAGATATAAATTTATATTAAATCTATTAAGCCAGAAAATTTTGTATTTTTCAAATGAAAATGAACAAAAAAATAAATGCAAAAATTCTATGGATATAAAAATATTTACTGATATAAATTCAATAAATTTTAATTTTTTAATTTTTAAAGAAACAATTAATAATATATTATGTCTTTATGTTAATTGAAATAATAAGAGGTAAGTGATGAGATGAATATAAAACCTAAAATAAAACTAAAAATATGAGAATATATATAGAGTTGCTTATAATTTGGCTTTAGACAACAAAGAAGTATGCTGTTGTTTTATGAGCAATATTAAAATTCTTAAAAAATTAATGAATCGTTAAACTAGTTAGCTCTCCCATAATTCCTCGTCTTAATTGTTTTATTCATAGTATTTAAAGTAACAGCAAGTAAGTCCGATTGCTGAAAGATTTAGTGGAGATGAAGTTTATGAGCTTAGAAAAAAAGTTGATTAGCTAACAAAATAATTAGAGTTCAAAGAGAAGTTGATAAGTGAGATGAGAGCTCATTAAAAACAATTTATGAATCGTTTGCCTGAACAGAAACAATTTCAATAAGAAAATTTTACAGAAAGATTAAAAGAATTTGAATAAAAAATGAAGGATAAGGAGGTGTAATTTCAAAATTAATTGATTGAAAGTAGTTTGCTGATGAAAGAAAATTAGAGTTTAAAATAAGAAATAATACGGTTGGAAAGTTGTATCAAAGATCCTGCAATACCAAAGTTCGTTAATTCAATAGTTGATCTAATAATTTAATGTCATCCATAAAATCATTTTCCAAACTCTAAACCTGATTTAAGAGTTTGTTGGAGATGGTTGAAATAGATTCTTAATGATTATATTCAACTAAAGTAGAGAAAGAATTGATTATTTTATTAATATTATGAATAAAGATGGACTTGAAACAAAATTGAATTTTCTTTAATAAGAAATAAGATAACTATAGGAAGAAAATAAAGAACTTAGATAACTACTATAATTAAATAAGGAAGTGATAAAAATTCAAAAAGAATGCACATTTAATTCTGTACTTTTTGAAACCATATATTAAGCTACCAAGTACAAATAATAGCAGAAAAGATGAAATTTATATAAAATAATATGAAAATAATTCTGAAAGAGGATTTCAATAATTGTTTTCATAATTATATGAAGAAAATAATTAACTATATGCATTTAATGAAGTAATAGCAAAATAAAGAGATGAAGCAAGAAGCTAAGTAATTAATGTAATTTAGTAAAGGCGTTAATCTTTGAATAAATCTGTGAGGAGTCAAATCAACGTAATATGGAAGTCTAATTAGAGAGACAGAATTAATTGATAGAATTGCAAAGAAAGTTGAATGAAAAAGATTAATAAATAATCTTATTAACTGAGAAATTGTTTGAGTATTAGAGCAAAAAGAAGATAAAATAAAAAATAGTATTCAAATTTAATTATTAGTATAAAGATGGTTTAACCAACTGAAGATGTTTTTGCTGTATTGAATCAAATAGAATAAATGAGAATGTTGATAGGTTAAATGATTAAGGAAAATAAATAATTAAGAGATGAAAAAAATAAGATATAAATATTTATTGATGTTTTGAAGAAATAGACTTTAAACAAACCAGATTATACTCCTCCAATACTTTCACCTGATAGAAGTAATGATGAAAGTCCTAAAAATTAATCTATTAAAGAAAATAAATAAATTTCTGGCACTAAAGTAGATGATTCTAGTTATGTTGAAATATTACCAACTAAAGTGAATGTTTAATTTTAAAAAAATTCTAATGCACCTGTGCCTAAACTTGATTTAGCAAAAGCATAAAAATTACAATAATTAAATATTTAAAAGCAAGAGGAAATTGAAGAAAAAGAAGAAATAGAAGCTAAAGCATTTAAACTTTAATAGCAAGTTAAAAATAATTCTCAGAAGGCTTAAACTCCATCAGCTGGTAATGCTTTAAATATGTTTGCCAGTCCAAATAAATTATGTGTCTAATTAAATTAATTAAGTGATTAAAACAAATCATTATAAAAAGAACTTGCTTAATGTAGATAAAAATTATAAAATGAAATTCTACTCTCAAAAACTTTAGAGGATTAAGTATGTGAATTAGAAAGAAAAATTTTAGATTTAGAAAGTGTAAATGAAATTTTAATTAATTCACAATCAAAATATGAACAAAAATGGTAGAAAATTCACTTATAATATATTACTTATAAGGAATTCTTTGAAGCCAATGATTAAATTTATGAAAGTGCAAGAGATAATAGATAAACTCTATAAACTATGATGAGTATGCCTTTATCAGCAAAACATAAAAAATCAAATGTGTCTCAAAATTTAAGGGAGATTGCTTATACTCTTTATAATAAATGTAAAATTGAAGAAAGACTCAAAAATATAGAATTTAAAAATGTATTAAATAAGAAAAGATCATCATCACTTTGATATTTTTCAAATTATTATAATTATGAGAAAAAACTAAACCACAATAAAAACAAGACCTTCTAGAGCCATCTCACAAGTAGATAATATACGATCATTCTCTTAGGCTAAAGATCCACGAGAATCTTAATTCCCAATCATTGAACAGAAACCAACTAAACCTTCTTCTGTTATTAGAAGTTCAAAAAAATCATTAGACTTTAATCGTCTAATCAGAAATCCAAAATTAAATGATAGTAAAATAGATGAAGCTTTAGTGGCAGATCTAAGTTTCAAAAAGATCGAAATTAAGGATGCCAAACTTTAGAAGAATTCTCCTTAAAAACATAATTTGCACTTAACATCTGAAACTAGTTAAGTAGAAGTGGAATTTAGAGCTTCTACTCCACCAAGAAAAAATAGAAAAGAAGGACAAGATTTTAATGCCAGATCTGAATGTAATCAAATCATTTACTTAAGCTTTTGCTACTTTAGAACCTATGCATCATGCAGAAGAAACTTTAGCAGAAAATCTAAGAATCTTCATTAAAATATATGAAATCATGAATAGCCTTTTAAATTCAATGAAAAAAGTAAGAGTTTGAAACTAATAAAGTAAGAATACTACTCTAGAACTAATAAATTAAATCAATCAATACATGGAATTAACTGAAGATATTGGATTTTAATATATAGAAGAGTTATTATAAGAACATGTAAAATAAATTAGATAAATATTTTTGATTTTGAGAGTTGGAGTAATTCTATATCTATATCATAGATTGTTGTCTTAGTTAATTGCTTTTTTGATTTACATTTCTATTTAAGTAGTATTAGTAATATTAAGAATATATTACAGTATAATATTTAAAATTTAAGCCATCTTTCTGATATTTTACTTGAAAAACTTAAAGAGAAACCTGAATATCCTTAATATTTGTAGTAATATACTTAGTTATAATTTAATATCAACAAGAAAAATGTATTAACTAAAAAACATGATTATTGGACCTCTGTAAAATAAAACTTAGAACTATTACTGAATCTTTATAAATCTCTAACAAAAAGCTAAAGAGATTTGTATTAATTTTTAATCATCTTTCTAAGAAGTTTATAAAATTATACAATAAAAGAATCTTTGAGAAATTTACAGGAATTTGTTTCATTTTATTTCACAATTCAACAAAGTTATTAAGGTTTATTAGGAATTCCATTAATTTGTGTAGCTCCTTCTCCATACCTTCCTTACACAAATCCAAAAACATATACTTTGGTTTTAGACATGGATGAAACTTTAATACATTTTACTGATTAAACAGGTCATTTCTTAATAAGACCATTTGCTCATTAATTTTTATAAGAGATGAGTTAATTTTATGAATTAGTTGTATTTACAGCTGGTTTACCTGATTATGCAAATTGGGTTTTAGATCAAGTTGATAAAAATAAGAATATATCATATCGATTATTCAGATAGCATGCTTTGCAATATTCAAATTAATTTATTAAAGATCTTTCAAGATTGGGAAGAGATCTTTCAAAATGTATCATAGTTGATAATGTTCCTGATAATTTTTAAAATTAACCAGAAAATGGAATATTTATAAAAACATGGTACAGTGATTAAAATGATACAGCGTTAGCAGAATTAGGACCAATTTTGAAATCAATAGTTATAAAAAAAGCAGAAGATGTTCGTTTAGCCTTAAAAGAAGTTAGAAAAATGTTGACATAAAGTATACAACTACCTCCATTGTAGGGGTGATATATTTATTTTTGTAAATACAATTTTGATTTATATTTATAATTTTATTTAACAGACACATGCAATAATCAGATTAAGTTGAAGTTGAATATAGAATAGAAATGTTAACAAGTGAATTAGAAAGATCTTCTTAAGCTTTATAATAGAAGAGTATAGAATGTGAAGAATGGAGACTTAAAAGTTTAGGATTAGAATAGAAGATTAAAGATCTCTAAGCTCATTTAGGATCATAAAAATAATAATTTGAAGATCTGACAGAAAATTTAAAATAAAAGGCAATTGAAGTAGAAGATTTGAGAAGTAAATACAATAGAGTTCAATTTATTACAATAAAAGGATATGAAGAAAAAATGGAATAATTAGTTAGAGAAATTGAATAATTGAACTAACTATTAATGTAAAAAGCATAAGATTGTGAAAGTAGTAGATAATAAGTGATGACTAAAATTTAAGAATTATAAGAGGAAAGATAAAAATGTTTTCATTTGGATAGTTTTATGAAATAGATAAAATCTGAAAAACTAGAAGCTCTTCATTTTTTGAATGAAAAAAATAAAGAACTAGAAGAATTAAAGGAGCGTTTTAGAGAAGCAGACTAATATCGATAGAAAAGTGAAATTTTAGAAAATGATATAGAAACAATTAGAGTAAATTATATGAACATATTCAATTAAAAGTTGGAGGAAATTGATGCGCTTTAAGCATAGATAGATACTTAAAGATTAATTAATGAAAATACAATAAGGATTGCTGAAGAAAAATATGCTTAGTAAATATAAGTGGAAAGATTAAATTTATAGAGATAGATAAAAGAATAAGTAGCTACATCAATAGTTTAAATGGAGAATTAAGTTGCTACATTAAACAATCTTTTAGAAGCAAAATAAAATGAAATAGATAAATTGAAATTATAAAGACATAACATAGAGACAGAGAAGATGAATTCTATGCTGATTGATAAGAATATCAAATTGTAAGATTAGTAGATTAAATTGTAATAATTAGAAAGATAACTTTACGAGAAGGCAAATACGTTGGATTAATTGACTTAATAAATATAAAATGGTTAATTAATTCCAGCAACTTCTTAGAGTTTATTAGAGAGATCATATAAGCAATTATAAGATGATATGCATAAATAGAATATAGAACTTACAATGTTATAATAGAGATGCTTAGAATTACAGGAAGATGTATAAAAAAAGGCAAATATGAAAGCTAATTATGAAGGTTAGATAAATACTTTATTGATTGAAATAGCAAATTTAAAGAGAGATGTATATAATAAATCAAGAATTAATTCATAACATAGTGATAATTAGAGACTCATTCAATTTGAGAATGAAAAAAGAGCTATTCGATAAAAATATGAACAAGATATGAAAATGGCAGATGATAAAATTAGATATTTGTTAAGCATAGTTGATTAGAGAGTTTTAGAGTAATAGTTGTAACATCGAGGAACATTAAATCCAAATCCTGTATTATAATAAATAATGGAAGAAAGTTCAAGTCGAATTGCTCAGAGTAATATCTATTATCATGAAGATTCAGATGTATTAAATGATGAAATTCGTTGATATAAAAATAAGCTTTGATTATTATTTCCCCTTCTTTATTGTTTTTCTTTCCGCAATATCTTCACAAGCTGATAGTTTTCTTCTTTAAGGAGCCTTTCTATTTCTATAATTAATTTCTTCTTCTAATAGGAGAAGAAATTTTCTAAAATGATTTGTCATTAATTAAAAAATTTTGCTTCCTTTTGCTATCAAAATTTGAATAACGTATTTTTTTAATTCACCATAATCTACTTACAAAACTAGCGTAAAAAATCAAATTCTATTTAGTTATATAATTCTTAGTTCTAATGTTTTTTTTCAGCTCATAAAGTTTAAACAGTTATTGCAGAATCTTAAACTAGGTTTATAAGTGAATCTGCATGTGAAATCAATCGAATCCATATTAATTCTCCAATCGTTAATGTAATTTTATTTTTTAGAAATTCAATTCTATAAGCAAATCGGTAAGACTAAAAATGAATTTAAAATTTTCTTCTAAGCCAAATGATTTTTTTATACTTTAAGTTAAGTTATTGCTTGAATCATCATTGTACACTCAATTCTCTGTTTATCTCAATATTAGAGAACTTAAGTTTAGATTTAGATATGCACATTCTAATCCCAATCTAATATTTTAAAATTCTTATTCACTTAATTCTTTTATCAGATTTATTTAGTTGAGATCTAACGTTTAAAATAAATTGCAAAGTCACTGGAATTTGAATATAATTTAATCCTAATTATTCTTGAATTTATTGGATAGTATTTTAACTTAGACAGGTTTTTTTAATAAATTCACTGCATCTGCCATTTAAGTATAGATATTTTGAGAGATTACATTTTTGACAAAAAATTTATTTAGCTTCTTTGGAATTTTTCCTTCGATCAATTTACTTGGAGTCGCTAAAACTTTTTGAGTTTCTCTAAAGGTGTGGCTAGTTTTTTTTCATTGAATTGCTTATACAATTTTTTATTTGGTTTTATTCTTAAAAATAATCATAGATATTATCTATTTATAGAGAGTCTTTATATCAGTAACATAAAAGAGTGTGCAAACTTAATGGAGTCTCTATTAATATTAACATATTTAAATATTTATGAATAGGTGTCTATATATTAATTATTTATTATGGATAGTGACAATAATAAACGTTTCAATTTTGAACAACTTTCATAAGGGTAGCTCAAAGGACGTCTATATAAAAATATTAATCGCTATGATCCAAATGAACGAAAATATACTTAACAGCTCTCGGCAATCTCATTGCCTTCATTAGTGCCAAAAATTTCTAAATAAAGATTAGAGCCTACAACCTAAACTCATTCAGCTTTAGGTGTAACCATTCAAAATGGTAGAATTTTACTAGATCGCTCAGGACATCAATCTATAAAAAGTATTTGCTGATTTAATAACAAAAGACTTCAAAAGCGACATTCTAATACAAGATTAGCTTAAAAAACCAAAGAATTTGTCACCTCTTGGTCATAGATTATTAAGTGATCATGGAATGAGTATTTTAGAGGATGTACAAAATCCTAATTCCACAATTAATGATTCAATTATTGGATTATTTTAACAACCTGAAAAAAGGAAGGAAACATAGATTTTAAAGAAGGCACTACGTAAACCTAAAAAGAAACAATAATAACAATCATATTTATCACCTATGGACTTTATATATTTGATAAGAACTGATCCAGAAATGGCTGATGAGTTCTGTTATTTAAATAAAAGAGATCATGCTTATGATTATTAAATTGTAGAATTTGAGGATAGAAATTCAAAAGAATATATGACAATAAGTGCCAGAGGTATCACCTATTTCTAAAATGATGAGGCTACATTTCTTACAATTGAAGAGTGGCAAAGAGAAGCTAAATTATATTAAGATCTTTAAAAAATAGATTTTTTTAGAAAATACAAATTATGGAAGAATTTCTTTTTATGGAAAAGATTAATGAGAAAAAACATTCTTGCCAAGAATTAAGATTTGATGATATCAAATATGTTTTCAACTGACAAATAATTAAGAATCACATTATTAGAAGTTCGTAGAATATGTTAACAAATGGCATAAGATATAAGATTTTTAGATACATCAACTACAGTACCTTAGACTCATGAAAACTTTAAATAGTTGTAAGACAAACATTTAATGTCTATAATGGATATAAAATTTGATACATATGAATAATAGATTAAATAAATTATAGTCGAATGCTGTTAAAAATCTTTAGTGAATTTTAAAGAAATTCATCGTATACCACTTCATGAAGATGATAATGAAGAAAGAGCTCCATTATTGGTTGGAGATGAATCAGGAAAAGATATGCCTTATACAACAGAGGCAACAATTAGAACACATTATAAAAGGTTAAGAAAATTTGTAAAATATGTTGATTATATCATAATTGATGCTAAACTATAAATGATGTAAAATTCAGTAGAACATATTGTCAAATAGATCAAAGAGTTCAATGAATAATATAAAGAGAGTTCTGGGGTGAAAAGGAAAGGATATTATGGTAAAGGTTAGCCTTAATGTTGGATTATTGTAGAGGCTGTAGGAAAATAAGAAGAAGTAATTTTTAATCCTGTGAGAGAATAACTATTTAGAATATTTGAAAGTGTTGTTAATAATAGTGTTATTCGCATAACTACTAGACATAGAGAAATGTTATCAATGCCAGAATTATAATAATATATTTAAGATGAAAGTAATTAATAATCTGAGAAAGTGGATGTTAAAGCAATAATAAATGGAAGCGAGAATTTTTAGATTTTATGTGGTCAAATGAGGAAAGAATTAGAAATTGCATTTGATTATTTAGAATCATATGCTGAAAAATTGAAACCATTCATGAAATGGTATGTTGAGAATACAGGAGTCAATATAGAAAAACAATTTGCAGATAAAGAAGTTGAAGAATATAGAAATGCAATCAATTAATATAAAGAATAAGATCAATAATTTTAGGATATAGAACCCACTTAAGAGATAGGAATGATAATGTTTGACAACTAAAAATTAAAAGCTAAAATTAAATCAAGTGCTATGAATTGTATTTTGGAATTATAGAAATTCATTCCTGAATATATGTACAAAAAGGCAGTACTCTTTACATAAAAAACTGCATAATTGTATTAAACTATAGCAATATCACCAGTTACAGTGGAGCAATTTGTCAATTACATGGAAGCTGTTAATATAATTAATAACTAATTTGAAGATTTAAGCAATATATCTTAAGAAGTTACAGCTATGGCTTTACTTATGGATGAATTACGTATCAAAATCTAAGATAAACATAAATAGAAATTTGCAGAGTGTAATTAATAAGTAAGTCAACTTCGTAAAAAAGTGGATGATGCTATGGCTAATTACGATTAAAATTTAAATAAATTTAGAAAGGATATGGAAAGAATGATTCCTTAAGTTGATAGTACAGTAAAAGACTTAAATGAAAGACTTTCTGAGTAACCTTTGAGTTCTTTAGCAGCCGATTTAAGTGACATGGTTACATTTGTCAAAGGAATCAGAAAATAAGTTGATGAACTTAAGATTCATGCAAAAAAATTAAATGATTATTAAATTGCTTTAAATATGGAATACACACCTTTTGAAAAATTGGAAACATTTAATAATGAATTTAGTTTATTAGAAAAATTGTGGTGTGGTAGAAATGAATGGATTTCTAACTATTCAGTCTGGTTAAAACAACATTATACAGATATAAATTTAGATGACATGAATAATTTAATGGAAAAATTATAAAAGGCAGCAAATTTATGTGCCAAAGAACTAGACAAAAATGAAGTAGCTAGAGTATTTAAATCAGATATTGAAGGCTTTAGAGGAGTATATTAGGTATTATAAGCATTAAAAGACCCTGCAATTTCAGAGAAACAATGGAATCAGATAAGATCATTGATACTAGAAAATTAATAATTATTTAAAGATCCTATTTTAGAACCATTTACACCTGTGAATGATCCTAAATATAATGTTTAGTGGATAACATAAGTTGGGTTAGATTAAGTAAAAGATAAGCTTAGCGAAATTGCATTAAGGGCAGCAAAAGAAATAGAATTAGTTAAAATGTTAGAATAGGTTGAATCAATATGGAGGGTAGCTGTAATCACTGTATAACCATATAGAGAATCAAAAGATGTTTTTATATTAGGTAATAATGAAGATCTGATATCCAAAATTGATGATACATTATTGACAGTTAATAACATTCTTGCATCAAGATTTGTAGAAGGTATTAGATCTGATGTGGAAAAGTAACAAGCTTTACTAAGATATTTCTAAGAGTTATTTGATGAATGGATGTTACATCAAAGGAATTGGTTATATTTGGAACCTATTTTGAATTCACCTTATAGTGCTAAGAATTTAGCAAAGGAATCCAAAATATTTTAATAAGCTGATACACAGTGGAAGAAATTAATGAGGAATGCTAGAGATAGTAGTATAGCTAGAAGATGGGCAGATGATTATTAAAATAGATTATATTTTAATTAACTAAGATAAAATAATAATAATTTTGATGTCATTTAAAAAGCTTTGGATGAATTTTTAGAAAAGAAAAGAGATGTCTTTTAAAGATTTTATTTTTTATCTAATGATGAACTCTTAGAAATTTTGTCAAATGCAAAAAACATTTAGGCTATCTAACCATATTTAAGAAAATGTTTTGAAAATTTAGTTAAGATTCAATTTGATTAGTAAGAGAATGCAATAGGAATGATATCTGCTGAAGGAGAGATTGCAGTCCTTAAAGGATATTCTGCAAGAGGAGAAGTAGAAGATTGGTTAAAAGCTTTAGAAGATAAGATGAAATCTTCTCTAAGCGGTGTAATGAGATAATCTTTAATTAAATATCAATTAGAAGATACTTAAAGAAAGGATTGGGTATTTGAGTTTCCTCTTTAAATAATTATTACAATTGATTCTATATTTTGGACTAAAATAACAGAAGAAAACTATTTATAAGCAGATGCAGAAGGAGACTTAGATGATTGGTATGATGCAAATGTAGCAATGCTCGATGAATTAACATAATTAATTAGAGGAAATTTAACTGAATTGTAAAGAAGAACTTTAGTGGCTTTGGTTACATAAGATGTTCATTTTAGAGATATAGTTGATAATATGAGAAATGAATCTGTGGAAGGGATAATGGATTTCAAATGGTAACAATAGTTGAGGTTTTACCATGATGAAGAAAGTGTACATGCTAAATAAGTAAATGCCAAATTAATGTATGGTTATGAATTTTTGGGATCAACAACAAGATTGGTTATTACTCCTTTGACAGATAGATGTTGGATGACTATCACTGGAGCTTTGGGTATCAAATTAGGAGCAGCACCATAAGGACCTGCTGGTACTGGTAAAACAGAATCATGTAAAGATTTAGCTAAAGCTTTGGGAAGATATTGTATTGTATTCAATTGTTCTGATTAAATTACAGCTAAAATGATGGAAAAATTATTTGCAGGATTAGCATATTGTGGAGCTTGGGTTTGTTTAGATGAATTTAATAGAATCTATATTGAAGTATTATCAGTCATTGCATAATAAGTTTAAACTATAAGAGAAGCACTTTTAGAATATAAAATGAACTTTTATTTCTTTGGTAAAAATGTATAATTGAATCCTGATTTGGGAATATTTATAACAATGAATCCTGGTTATGCTGGTAGAACTGAATTACCAGATAATTTAAAAGTTCTTTTTAGACCAGTAGCTATGATGGTTCCAGATTATAGATTAATTGCAGAAATTATGTTGTTTGCTGAAGGATTTTCAAATGCTAAAGATTTATCTAGAAAGATGGTCAAATTGTATCAATTAAGTTCAGAATAATTAAGCCAGCAAGATCATTATGATTTTGGTATGAGAGCAGTAAAATCAGTTTTAGTAATGGCTGGATCATTAAA